TTAAAACTACTCATTTATTTCTACCATTGATGCATAAATACTCAGTATAGGTTTTAAAAAATTGCCTGTGACATTAGTCCAAAATGAGGGTGTACATATATGATTAATCTAGATTATTGATCTATGATTAATCTAGATTATTAATCTATTATTAATCTGACACTGCTGGTTTTTCTTTTTCCTTTAGGTGAGGCAGGCGACTAATCAGATTGTGATGAATTGTGCTGATATTGACATTATTACAGCTTCATATGCACCAGAAGGAGATGAAGGTGAGCATTGTTTTCCATTTTAATTTGTTATCTATATGTGTGTATGTGATACGTGTGTGTGTGTGTGTAATATATACACTTTCAGATTTAGACATCAGTGTTATTTAATAGGTAATTTCTTTAGCTATTTATGGGACATATTTGAATAGTATAATCTAACTATACGATAAGATAAAGGAAATGTCATAATTTAAATTCTACTTCCAGCATTAACTTATTTTGTGCCACTAGGCAAATCACATTTTCATAAGTGTAAAATGAATATAATGATATGAGTAATAAAGTTGATGAGTTATTTAAAAAATTAAGTACTTTAAACATGAAACGTTTATCAAGGGGGCTTAATTTATGTGTTTTTTTCTCAGTTTTTTTTTTCCTCTTGAACTATAGATTAAAGTTGAGATAATAAGTCTTACTCATAATTGGGACAAAAATATTTGCTTTGTGAGACCCAGTATGAAGGTTAGAAGCTAGATGATGGAGTTAATTACAGGGGAAGAATATGTTAAAAAGAAAGATGGTATAGAATGTGTGGGAACTCTGTTAGCATCTTTAAAGTGATAGCTCTTTTATTAGACCTTGTAATTTCAATAAGAATGTAATCAGTTTTGTCTTGAAATCTTATTCCCACATAAGCTGCATTTTAAAAAGATAGCAAGTTTGGCATAAACTCATACAAGTATGTTGATATTGGAGCTGAATTGCTTTTTTTTTTTTGAGATGAGGTCTTGCTCTGTCACCTGGGCTACAGTGCAGTGGTGTCATCATAGCTCACTGCAACCTCTTAACTCCTGGGCTTGAGCAATCTTCTTGCCTCAGCCTCTCGAGTAGCTGGGACTACAGGCACGTGCCACCACGGCTGGCTAATTTTTCTGTTTTTTGTAGAGATGGGTTCTCGTTCTTGCTAAGGCTGGTCTCAAACTCCTGGCCTCAAGCGATCCTCCTGCCTCGGCCTCCCGGAGTGCTAGGATTACAGGCATGAGCCACCACGCCTGAATTGCTTTTCACTTTTTTTTTTTTTTTTTATCTCAGACTATTACAGGGGTACAAATGTTTAGCTTACATATATTGCCTTTGCACTACCCAAGTCAGAGCTACAAGTGTGCCCATCCCCCAGACAGTGCGCACAGCACCCATTAGGTATGAATATACCTATCCCCTCCTTCTCTCTGCTTTTTAGTTTTGACTTCACCTTGACATTCCTTGTCAAATGGTTTATTGGTTACTCTCAAGACTTCTTCCTAGAAAGTCTTCCCATTTGATATAAATTATGTTAGAAATTCGATCTTTTAATTTACATTTTATATCTCTGTTTCTCCTCTTGCTTTACATTATAGTGAAAAGAAGCATAAAAGTTTCCCTTTAAGGCCCTGCAACATTTATTTCATGAATTTTTCTTAAATTGTCTTGTCCATAGAAAGTCAGTCTTAGCAGTTGGGCATACTATTGCCAAGAAGTATGCATGTTCAGTTGATTGTAAATGTAATCAAACTGCTGTGATTTTAAGTTTAGAGGAACAGATCCTTCAAATGGACTTGAATGAGTGGCAACTTTTGAAAAATTGTCTGGTAAATGAAAGAGTGATTATTTAATTTCTTGAATTGTGAAGAGAAAAAAGGAAGCACTTTAGCCAGGTATATTAAGGCAAGCTTTCTTTGTTGTAAGTAGAAAAAGAACATTTACATTCAATGTAGGGTTTTAAAGTGCTGTCCAGTATATATAGATAGGTGGATCTACTGAAATAAATGTGCACCCTCCAGCCCACATGGTTTTCAGCTCAGCTTTATTTTTTATCTTCCTCTACTAAAAATGCCAGGAGAGAATTCAGAGGACTTAAAATTTTTGAATATGCATAACTGAATAGTGTTAAGCTCCTAGTGATCTGTATCTCAAGGAAGCCAAGTTAGTGTTCTCACTAAGAGAGTCAGGAGAGAAATGAAAACTTACAGGAAATGAAGAGGATTTGGAGAGAAATTCAGATAAAACATTAAATTTTTTAAGATACATAAAAGATTCTCCTTCAGAATTAGATAAGGTCCATTTCTCAATGCTCTTCTCCTGTATCAACAGGAAAGACCTGGAGTTATGTGTCAGCCCATTTAATTTTCAAGTATAAGAGAATGGGAAGTTGTATTAATTTGCTATTTTAAGATTTGGGTCAGGATCAGGGATAGATTTGGCCTTCCACATACATATACATAGCTTAATTTTGCCCTTGGACATAATAGCATTTCATGATTTTTACTTATGAGAAGGTACAGTGTGTTATTTCTTTAGAGACTAGTAGTTACAAATTTGACTGCTAGCTCTTCCAGGGTTGTATGCTGGTGGCAGGAGAATAGAATCAATAGGAGAGATACCATTTTTAAACCAAGCTAATCTCATCTAACCCTATTTATACTCATGATTGCCTTCTACAAGACCAGTTTAGGTATCTGTAGCCACTAAATTCTGTTGCTTTAAGGTAAAATCAGAAAATTATTTGAAGGCATGAAATTGTTGCTTCTTTGTGTAAGTTTTTATTTGATGAACAAGGCCATCTTGTGATATATATGCAGTAATCCTGAAAGGTCTATTGGCATGTGTCTCTTTAAATTAAGGCACTGTCTTTTAAACATGGTTTATTTTAAAACCTATTTGAGATCTTTGTAATATTTTAAAAATGAGAAACCAGTAAGAAAAACGGCTGAAAACTGTTTTTTTACTGTTCTGCACTTCAAGGGTTGGTGAAATCACTAGCACTTAAGCCAGTGCAAGGAATGCACCTCCCTACACAGTGCAGGGATTAGTATTGTCATCAGCTTCTGCAAGAGAAATACGAAACTCTTGAGTGCCTGAACTCAGGTCCTGACAGGTAAAGAGTCTTTTAATTTATCATTAATAGATGGCTTGGGTATAACCACATAGAAAATGATCACTTGAAAGTTTTGTACCGACTTTTTCCTTAGTATATTCTGTTAGGTATATGTTTGTAGAAGTAGCTGTGTAAGAAAAATTTTTTCATCAGTGATATAACATTTCATACAGAGTTCTAATACATAGTTTCAGGTCTGCCAGCATCACTTTGGTTTTATCCATATAAGGCACATAAATTTTAACACATTTATTTATTTATTTATTTATTTTTGAGACAGAGTCTCACTTTGTTGCCCCGGCTAGGGTGAGTGCCGTGGCGTCAGCCTAGCTCACAGCAACCTCA